ATTGGAGAGGCCTGACGGCCGGTGCCGCCGACCCTGATCGAAAGGGCTAGGAGTGGGGGGAGGAAGCGGAGGATGAGGAGGAGGAGGAGGAGGAAGAGGAGGAGAAGGAGGAGGAGCAGGAGGAGGAGGAGAAGGAGGAGGAGGAGGAGGAGGAAGAGGAGGAAGAGGAGGAGGAAGAGGAGGAGGAGGAGGAGGAGGAAGTGCATCCTTTGTGTGCCCGCTCGAAGAAAGTGCGCCCCGGGAGTGTGACATTCTGACTTGGGACGTATCTCGGGCGTGCCCGCTCGAGGAAAATGCGCCCTAGGGGGGTGGTATTTTGACTCGGGGCCCGCTCCCGGGACGCCTCTGCGGGAGGAGGAGGAGGAGGAGGAGGAGGAGGAGGAGGAGGAGGAGGAGGAGGAGGAGGAGGAGGAGGAGGAGGAGGAGGAAGAGGAGGAGGAGGAGCAGGAGGAGGAGGAGGAGGAAAAGGAGGAGGAGGAGGACCAGGAGGAGGAGGAGGAGGAAGTGCATCCCGTGCGTGCCCGCTCGAGGAAAGTGCGCCCCGGCGGGCGTCGTATCTGCCCCGGGCCCCCCCCCCCTCCCCCCCCCTCTGCGGGGAAGGGATCAAAGGGAAGGGGCTTCCCTTCGACTCCATTACGACGTCGTTTAATTTCGCTTTGGATAGCGCGCTTGAGGAGGAGAGCCCTGGGAGGGGGAGAACGGAGACGACGGAGACGACGAGTCGAACGGAGAAGCCCCTCACACACGCCGACAGGGTCGGCGGATTTTGGTTGCCTTGTGATCGTTTCCCCAGGTTGTCGTGTGAGGCTCGCGTTGGTGAAAGCATTCGCTTGGTAGATTCAAACGCTGAGGCCTTCGGTCCATCCCGCAACTATGCCTGCGTTGCGGGTCGGAAAATTTTCGGGTGCATGTGAGGGCTTCTTGGAATGCCTTTCGAGGGCCTCTTGGAGGGATCTTGGGAGCCTGCCTCGGGGGCCTCGTGGTAGCCTCTCCGGAAGCTTCTTGGGAGCCTCTTGGGGCCTCTGGGGGTCCTCTTTCAGGCTTCCTGTGGGCATCCCAGGGACCTCCTGGGGACTCCTTGGGGTCCTCTTGGGGCATCTTGGGGCTCTCTTGAAGGCTTGCTGGCGGCCCCGAGAGTCGTCGAGCTGGAAATGTGGGCCCCTAGTGGAGCCGTCTTGGGGGGCTCCTGGGCCGTTTGGGGGCCCACCTAGAGTTCCCAAGCCTGCGCAGCATCAGTGACTTTGGCCTGTCAGGGCTCTCTTGGAGGTCCTCCTGGGGCCCTCCGGTCTGGAGGCGGTTTGGAGGCCCGGGGCCGTCAAGAGGCGCCCTCGGGCCGTATCGCACCCTCTTGGGCGCTCCTGAGGCGCGCAAGGGGGGCCGCCTGGGAGGTCTGCCATCCCGTCCCGTGGCGAACCTTTTTCCGGGACCTTGCCTGGGCAGTCTTGCTCGAGGGGCCCTCAGAGGCCGCCACGTGCGCGCGGAGAGTGTATGCAGACCATGGGGCTGAAAACCAGTTGGGCGGGCGAACCTGGCTGGGGCCCCTGTCGGCCCGCTAGTCGGCTTAGCAGGAGCACGTTTTCGTAGAGAAAAGGATGTGGAGAAGATGGAGGAGCACCAGATGAAGGAGCAAGAGGACTGAGGAGGAGGAGGAGGAGGAGGAGGAGAAGGACGAGGAGGGTCAGGACGAGGAGGGGATGGAGGAGATTGATGGGATCCTCCTTGGCCTTTCGGCCCCCCATGGCTTCCTCCAGGGCCCATTCTGGCAGCGGCTGCTTCTCGGAGGGCTTCTGGCAGTATGCGTGGGCCACGCTGGGCCGGGCCGGGCCCGACACGGGCCGAAGGATCCACGATCGACGCGGTACAGCTGCCAGGGGTACCCAGGCTTCAGTCGTGCGTGTCCCCCTACAGGGGGATTTTCGACGAAAAATAGAAAATAATCCAAAAATAGTTTAAAAAATAGTCAAACAATAGTCTGGGGACTTTTTTTTTTTTTTTTGTATTTTCTGACCTTTGGGGGCATTTTTTTAATATTATTTTTCGTCGAAAATCCCCCTGTAGGGGGACACGCCCGACATAAACCCAGGCTCTAGTCCGAGCTGCTCCGAAGGTCCGAAGCGAGCAGTTTAGGCAGGAGCTCTGGTTTGGCGTCACTTGGGCGGTCCAGGCGGATGCTCGGGCCCAGAGAAGCGAGCGGCAGTCCAGGCGGAGGCAGCGTGGCAAATCGCTTCGGCGTTCCGAAACATCCGGGACAGGGCCGCGAGAGAAGGCGAGGATGCAGAGCTTCTCTCCTCCTCCTCCTCCTCCGCCTCCTCCTCCTCCTCCTCCTCATCATCATCATCATCATCATCATCATCATCATCCTCATCATCCTCATCCTCATCCTCATCCTCATCCTCCTTATCCTGCTTCTTCTCCTCCTCCTTCTCCTCCTCCTCCTCATGCTTCTTCTCTGAGCTCGTCCGCTTCCCTCGGTTTCAGCTCCTGGGAGGTCGAATTCGGCATCGGTGCTGTTGGTGCCGGTACATCTGCGGTTGAAAACCGTCCCACTCGGGCATCATGCCGTTTAATCTGGCCCAATTCTTTTTATTCCTACCCAAGCCTGGGTTTAATCTGGCCCAATGGCCTGGCCCCTTCACGGGGCTCAGCAGCACCGAGACGCTCCTTTGAGGACCTCTCACGAGCTGCCTCCCAAGCCTCCAGAGGGGCGCGGCCCTCCCCATTCCCAGGCCTGGCTCCTATCCGATCCGACTCCGATGCGCCCCGCTGGTTTCCGGTTCCGGCCCGATGACCGGGCCCCAGCCACCGCTCCTGAGGGGCCCGCCTGCCGGCGGACACGCGCGTCTCGTCTCGTCTCGCCTCGTCTCGTCTCGTCTCGTCTCGTCTCGTCTCGTCTCGTCTCGTCTCGTCTCGTCTCGTCTCGTCTCGTCTCGCTCGCTTCCGGTTCCGGTCCGATGCCACTCAGGCTGCCTGATGTCGATTCTGGTCCGATGCGCGGATGCCGACCTCGGTTCCGATCCGGCGTTTCCGATCCGGTGGAGGGTGGGCTCGCTTCTTGCGGGTGTTGCCCCGAAGTGCCCATGGCCCAAGGTGCCCCCCCAGGACTGCCAAGGAGGCGCTCACGGCCTACAGAGCAGCCCTGACGAGGCCCAGAGGGCCCCGGGGGCCCCAAGATGGAGCGGAAGGTTGGGGGCACCTCGGGCCAGGGGCACCTCTACAATGGCACGGTGCTAAAGTTTTCGCTCGGCGAACAAAATACCCCCTGGAATTCTAGACGCTTCGCGTATCCCCACCAGATTATCTGGCTCTGTGCCCCAGTCAGCCCGATTGACCCGCCCCCTGGAGCCTTCCTTGGGGCCGCAGATCAAAAACAAAAATATCCCCACCAGCCCAGACGTTCCCCGTTCGCTTCTGGCGCTTGCCACGCTAATGCAGCTGTCCTGGGTGAGGTGCTTAGACCTGCTATCGGCAGTTCACTTGGCAGTTCTATGCGTGCTGCCATTCCGTACAGGCGTTCGATGTCGACCTTATCCATCGTACCCCTGGTTGGCAGCATCAGGCGTGTGGCCGATCCGTTCAGGTTTTCGGTGTCGATCCCTTCCATCGTTTTCCTGGCTGGCTCTCCTTCTCGTTCTCGGAGAGGGGATTACCCCGGATCTTTTCTCTCAGGAGTGAGTGTGCGACTTTGGTGGCGCCGCTCGTACTGGTTCCTGGTCGGTGACGTATTCCTGGCCATCGGTGTTAGTACTACCTCCTGGAGTGTATTGCAAGCGAGCTGCCCCCCTCAGGGGCTGTGTGCATGGATCCCTCGTGTGGTTTATCGTATGTCAAGTCCTACACGCCCTCAGCGGTCCCTGTTAGCTTCGCTGTCTGTGACTTTGCTGCGCCTTTTTGGCTGCGTATAGCTCCTTGTTCAATTTGTGCATCGGCACTGCCTGGTTGCAGTTTGCATCGCCCGTCGGCAAGGTTTCGGGCCCTGCCCCGCTTCCTGGCACCACCTCGCGCAGCCTGGCAACTCAGGCAGCTTTGGCAGCTTAGGTTCGGCCGTCGGTCCCCGTGCGCTAGGCAAGTAGGTTCGCGCGTAGCCCGCCCGACCTCTGACGTTGCTGGCGCGCTCGCCTGCGGCCGCGACGAGAAGTATCCCCACCAGCCCATCCAGAAACGATGTTCAGGCAAGTTGAGGTGATCAGGGACGTGCGGGAACAAAGAGGGGGACGGCCGAACCGTGCGAAGGAGGGAGGAGGAGGAGGTGGCTGGATGGATAGATGAGGGAGTGGGGAGAAAGAGGATGAAAAGGAGCAGGAGGAGGAGGAGGAGGAGGAGGAGGAGGAGGAGGAGGAGGAGGAGAAGGAGTAGGAGGAGGAAGGCTTAGCAGGAGGAAGAGGGCAAGCAAACGGGCCAGAGGTTTCTCGGATGCCTCTCGGAGCCTCTTGAGGTATGTCTTGGGCGTTTCTTGGTGGCCTCTTGCGACGTCTTGAGGGTATCTTGGCGGTCCTGGGGGGCTCTTGGGTGCCTCGGGGGGGCCTCTTGGGGCCGCATGGGGTCCTCTTGGGGGCCTGCTGGGGGCCTCTTGGGGGCCTCCTGGGGCCATCTTGGGACCTCTTGCGGCTTCTTGGGCGATTTTGGGGGCCATTCTGGAGGACATCGATCAAAGAACGGGGGGTGGCAATTAGCCTTGTCCCCGCAAACGGCCAAAATGGAGCCAAAACCTTCGCAAAAACAATGATGTTGACTTCCTCGCCGAGGCCGTTTTGGACGCCCTGACCGCTTGCGACTGGCCCCGTCCAGGTCCAGGGGAGGGGGGAGAGGGATGGGTACCCCCCCCCCGAAGGGGAAGAAGGGAGCTAAACCACCTACGCCCAGAGGGCTAAACCACCTACGCCCAGAGGGCTGCGTTGGCCCTCGCTGCGATCGGGGCGGCCGTCTCTGCCCCCGTGGTCCGCGCCCCAGCCGCCTGCTGCCCCGCGGGGGTGTCTTCCAAACTGCCAGAGGTTAGCAGCACCCGATTTCTGCCGGCGGAGTCCTCCCGACTGCCCCCCCGCCTGTTCGCCAGGGGCCTCGGTGCCCCGCGGCCCAAGAGGCGCGCGTCGCGGCCGCCGCCAGGGGAAGCTCAACGGCAGGCAGTGCGTGGCCATCGACCCGCCGAAGCACCTGCACGTGCGCCGGGACCGCCAGGGGGGGCTGCCGCGCGGTGTCGGACACCAGCGCTGGCGCCACCGCGGCGTGAACCCGCCGTATACACATGTGTCAGTCTCTCTCTCTCTCTCTCTCTCTCTCTCTCTCTCTCTCTCTATATATATATATATATATATATATATATCCGTAAGGGCTTCGCCCCCTGCCGCCGGCCCCCTCTCTCGGAGAATGGGCCATGGAAGAGCTAAGTCATGAGGCCTTGGCGCTGTCGTGAAGCAGTATCGAAACTTCATGCGAAGCCGATTCGCAATCAGCAAAACCAACTGATCACAAGAGGGGTTACCACACCTGGCGATTGGTAAGACGTGTATGGTTTACGGGCTTGGTTACCACACCTTGCGATTAAAGGGCCGAGGGAGTTCTCGCAGTTTGGGTTACCACGCCTTGCGATGGATGTGCGCGAAGGGTGGCACCGAATTTCAGAAATGTGGCAAATCCCCTGTGTTTTTGGACCCTGACCCCGCGGATCTGCGTGAGGGGTGGCACCGAATTTCAGAAATGTGGCAAATCACATGTGTTTTTGGACCCTGACCCCGCGGATCTGCGTGAGGGGTGGCACCGAATTTCAGAAATGTGGCAAATCTCCTGTGTTTTTGGACCCTGACCCCGCGGATCTGCGTGAGGGGTGGCGCCGAATTTCAGAAATGTGGCAAATCACTTATGTTTTTGGACCCTGACCCCGCGGATCTGCGTGAGGGGTGGCACCGAATGTCAGAAATGTGGCAAATCCCCTGTGCTTTTGGACCCTGACCCCGCGGATCTGCGTGAGGGGTGGCACCGAATGTCAGAAATGTGGCAAATCACTTGTGTTTTTGGACCCTGACCCCGCGGATCTGCGTGAGGGGTGTTGATTTCGAGCCCCCCCAGCAATTCAGACAACGCGCCCAGGGGGTGCTAAAAGTCTTGTTTGGGCCTCCCCCCCCCTCGCGCGGTCAATCAACTAGTTACAGTAACCAGCAAGAAGTCAACTAGTTACAGTAACCAGCAAGAAGCAGAACTGTAACACTGGAAACTAGAAACTACAACTGGTACAGGAAACTGCGAATCACGGGCCTCGCAGCCTGGTGGCCCCACAAGGGGCCGGCGGATATGTATGTATGTATGTATGTATGTATGTATGTATGCATGCATGTATGTACGTATGTACGTATGCATGCATGCATATGTGAATGTATGTATATGCATATGCATAAGTATATGCATATGTCTATGCATATGTAAATGTAAATGTATATGTATGTGTCTATGTATGTGTTTATATATGCATATGTAAATGTATATGTAAAGGTATATGTATGTGTATTTGTATATGTATATGTATATGTATATGTCTATGTCTATGTATATGTGTACATATGCATATATGTATGCATGTATGCATGTATGTATGCGTGTATGTATGTATACATGCATGCATGCATGTATGTATGTGTGTATGTATACTTGTATGTATGTATGTGTATCTATGCATGTATGTATGCATGTATGTATGTATGTATGTATGTATGTGCGTGTGTATGTATGTATGTCTGTATGTATATGTAGATGTATAGGTTCATGCACATATACAGGTACATGGTTGCGTACATGTATACGTATATGCATATGCACATGTACATATATGTATACATGTACATATATACATGTATATGTATGTGCATGCGCACATGTATATGTGTTTTCTGATGCATATGTATCTGTATGTGCGTATATGTAATATTGCAAGTTTATGCAGATGTGTAAGTATGTATGTGTATGCTTTTGAATTGTATGCATGTATGTATATATGCACACAAGTGGCACGTGCGTGCCCAGGCTCGTACCAAAAAACAGGCTCCCTCTCCTGGGAGTCGTGTGCGTGTGGGTGTGTTGTCTATGTGGTACGTGAGTCGTGCGTGTGTGTGTGTGTGTGTGTGTGCGTGTGGGCGTTTGTGTGTTTATGTGTGTGTCGTGTGCGCGTGTTGTGCACTGTGTGTGCGTGTGCGCTCTTTACGAGTGATGTGTGGGTGTTGGATTTTGCCAGGGCAGCCTCGCACTCTTGCCCCTCTCGGCCGATCCTGGCCTCCAGCCATGGGCTTCTGCTGCTGGCTCCGATCCTGGCGCCCATGGCAAGGGCCTCGCACCCCTGCCGCGCATCCTTCCGACGCGGTCGCCCTGCAGCCCAAGGCAGTGCCCGCGGGGCTCGCAGGGGCGGCCTCGGCACCGTCCGCGGAAGCGTGCGCGCGCCGGAGAGCGGCCCGCAGGAGCAGTGTTATAACCTGACGCCGCTGCTGCGGCCAGGCCCCCACCTGAGCCCGGGGCTGCCCCGTGCTGCTGGTGCGGCGGCGGGAGGGGAGGGGGGCGGGGAGGAGGCGGACAAGGAGGAGGAGGAGGAGGAGGAGGAGGAGGACTTGAGGTATTGTTTTTGTCCCCCCTCTCTCTCTCTTTTCTTTCTCCCTCCCCCTTCCGTCTGCCGGTCTTTACCGTACGTATAACTCCACCCAGCCGGCGGCTCCTGGAGCGACCGCTCTCCAGGAGTCGCTTGGCTCTCGGTTTTGATTTATGATTCCCCCAGGGCCGACCGGCCCGGGGGAGGGGGGTAACGTCCGTGCGACCTTCACGCCGTCAGTGCCTCAGCGTCTCAGGAGGAGGAGGAGGAAAAGGAGGAGGAGGAGGAGGAGGTCTACTTGGGACTGAAGGAACAGGAAAAGGAGGAGGAGGAGGAAGAGGAGGAGGAGGAGGAGGAAAAGGAAAAGGAGGAGGAGGAGGTCTACTTGGGACTGAAGGGCCATCCGAGGCCTCGACGAACCAGCACAGCCTGCAGCTGCGCCGGCACCCCTTCCCTCCTCGGATGCAGGCCCTTGTCAGTGCGAGACAGGTTCTCTCTTCCCTTTGCGCTCGATTGGCTCACAGTGGCATACCTGCCACAGTTCACTCAACATGTGAGGCAATAAGGGTCCCAATGCTGGGGCTTTCGGGGCCGATGCGCAACTTTCCCCGCGACAGCCTCGTCTGAACCCCACGTCGCAGAGTCCTGACCAGGACCAGGACGCAGGCCGTGGCCGAGGGGCCTGAGCCACCTCAAGGGCTCGGGGACGCGGGGACCAACATCGAACACATCTCGCACTTCAGCTGGGCACCAGTCGAACAAATCTTAAGAAAATCTCGCAAACGTCGAACAAATCTCGCAAACGTCGAACAAATCGTAAGAACACGGCGGGCAGAGGAAGGGAGCACAAGCTCCGGCCGAGGGCGGCGGGCGGAGGCAGCCCGTCCCTGGGCGGCCTCGCGGCCGCTCCACGGGTCCGCCCCCGCGGCGAGCTCCAGGCCTCGGCGAGCCCGTGCTCTCAAGAGAGCACGCCCATGGCGCCCCACCGAGTCGTTAGGGGCTCGTCCGAACGATGTGCTGGAACAGCGCGTTCTCATTCATAGGCGCGCTGTTGGCGCAGCAGCAGCAGCCATCAGGACGCCCTGCCGGCGTGCGTCCCCGGGCCAGGGGTGTCCTTGAACAGTGGGCATGCTCAGTCCGAGGGGGTTGGCACATCATGCGTATTGTTGCCTTTTCAAAGATGGTAGGCGAATTTCTCACCGATTCGCATCCACAGCATCGACACGACACGACCGCCCCCCCTCTACCACCCTCCGCCGCCGGCAGCCCCGCCCCCTCATCAGGCAAGGCGTCACCCTGCATGTGAGAAGGGCTCCACTGGCTCCTCGGATCAACATCCGAGCGCAACTCTGGTACGGCTCCAGAGATCCTGACTGGCCCCTTGGATGGATGTCCAACGCTGACCATACCACGAACGAAGTAACGGCTGGTGACCCGTGACAAACTAGAAGGAGCCGTTCACACATTCCAAGGCCAGAGCGAAGGCAGCAAGTTCCGCTCTTGGTACCGCCTGGCGCCTACACCAAAGACAAGAGCGTTCCCCGGCGGCAAGGACCCACCCCCCAGCCAGCATCATTCGACTCGAGCGAAACAGCGGCGGTCCCACAACGACGCCGCCGAGGGTTCCAAGTGTGGGACCCCCCCGAACCATCACCAAACAAAACAACCCCAAAATCAGGTTGACGGTCGAGAGCGCTAAACAATGACGGGCCGTAATTACTCGATCACTGCCTCCATGGAGAAGCGCGTGGCCTCAGGAGGGTGGGTCCACGCCTGCGGTGACATTCCACGAAGCCAAACCGATGGGCACTGCCGGCATTGAGCGGCGGCATGGGGAAAAATGTGTCGCGTCTTACCGAACATGTCTTCTTCGTTCTCGCAGCAAGACCATCTGCGGTGGAACAGCGACTCCTCTTCCAATCCACCGCGTAGACAACCTGGGAACGTCGTAGCCACAGTCGGTTATCCAGACCCGAGGTCACTGACCCCAGAAGTACTTGCATGTTGTAAACCCAACTACGAAACATCTCAGTCTCTCTCGAGCCTACGGCACTTGGCGATCTATGAACATATCTCCTCGAGGTGCCCAGAGGCCTGGTGCCACAACTTAGCAGACATATAATCTAGCATCTCATCGAGCAACTCCGTGAAATCTACATCGTGTGCTTCAAAACCAGGGTCCTCAGCGTTGGGGAGCTGCCGCGCGCATTCGCCACTGGGGGACCTGCGAATGCACGAATACGCTTATTAAGGCGCCCAACCTGCATCATACAACACAGCTGTGACTGCACTGACTGGTCCGCGGACTCCCCGGCACCTGGTCATGGGATCCGACAGCCGAGGGCGAAGGCATGACCACGATCTAACGACACGAGGATACAAAGAAAGGGTTGAGCGCCAAACCATAAGCCATTCGAGCACCAACTGCCTACGCAACTCTAAAGCTGAGGTCAAGCATCTGCCAGACTGTGCCGCCTGACGCTTCGCCTTGACGATCGCAGAAGGAGGAAAGCCATAGCAGTGGTGCCCGTGCGCAGGTTGTGGAAGCGCTCCAGTGTTCCACACCCCTGGAGTTATCTGACACAACTTAGCAGACCGCTCAAGTTTGCGCATACGAAGGAACCTCCTGGAAACTGTCCTCAATTGCTCGTTGGACTTAGCTAGGCGTCTAGCTTTTCCTTGAGCAGTGCCTACAGTGAGGGCGCGCATCACGAAACCGGATATCTTTCGTCAGGGTGCCTTTGGTTTTTTCGCGCCGCGCGTTGCGCGATGGTTTCTCGCGGTTGCCAAGAAATTCTCGTGTCCAGGATCCCTTGGGTTTCTTCCCAGTTGCACTGCGGGCAATCAAACGGCCCGCTACCGAAGAAACCTCCAGGCGCCAAAGGCTCCTTGGGTTTCTTGCATCCTTGCGACAATGCAGCACTCCCCGCGCACGCGGGCGAGCGCGCGTGCGCCCTGGCCTGCTAAGGCTTGCATTGTCAGCATTGGCTGTGCATTGCCTGGAATACAAAAGTCGCTATGTGGACCTGGGAACTAGAGTCAACCCTTAACGGTGATCGGCTCGATTCTGAAGTTAACGTGGGTTTTTGTGCATGATTTCTATTGTGAACAATGCAGCGGCGCGCGCGCGTAAGCGCGCGTACTCGCCGTTTGCCCTGGCTTGCTAAGGCTTGCATTGTCAGAACAGGTTCGGTATCGTCCAGAATAGAAAAGTCGCCACGTTGGCCTGGGCACTAATGTCCACCCTTAACGGTGACCGATTGGATGTTGAAGTGAACATTGGTTTTTGTGAATGTTATCTGTTGTGGACAATAAAGCATTCCCCGCGCGCATGCGCGCGTGCGCGCTGCGTGCCCTAGCCTGCTGAGGTTTGCATTGCCAGCGTAAGTCGGTTCTGTATTCACCAGAATACAAAAAGTCGCCATGTTCGTTTGGGAACTAAAGTCAAATCCTTAACGGGGACCAATTTGATTTTGAAGTTAAAATGGGCTCTTGTGCGTGTTTTCTATTGTGGGCAATGCAGCACTCCCCGCGCGCGTGCCCTGGCCGGATAAGGCTTGCATTGTCAGCGTTGAATCCGTATCGTCCAGGATGCAAAAGTAGCCATGTTGGCCGGGACACTAAAGTCAACCCTTAACGGTGATCGATTGGATGTTCAAGTCAACGTGGGCTCTTGTGCGTGCGCGCGCATGCGCCGTGCGCCCTTTTCTGATGAGGTTTGCATCATCAGCATGCATAGGTTCTGCACTGGGCGCGGCCATTGGGCCTCGCCGCCGCGCCCGTGCATTGCGCGCGCGGTTGCGCAGATCTTCGGTCGCGACAATAGGGCCCTGCCCGCGCGTCGCGCACGAGGGCGCGCCGATTCCTGGCCGCGGCCAAGGTTTCGCCTTTGCTTCCGCCGACGCCTCTCTTGCGAGGGCGCGCGGGATCCGGGGCGCGGCCGTTGGGCCCCGCCCGCGCGTTGCGCGCGTGGGCGCGCAGATTTCGGCGCGCGACCACTGCGTTTCCGACGGGGGCCAGGCAGGGCCCAGCCGCTACAGCGCCCCCTGGGGTTCTTGGGCAGCGCGGCCCCTGGCCGAACAGCGCGCCGCCAGGGGCGCGCAGCGCGACTCTCTCGGGGCATTATGCGCTTCGGTCAGTAAGCCGCTCGGCGACGACGCTGCGAGATCACGCGCGGCCGAGGCCCCCTGGGTTTCTTGGGCGACGCAGCCCCAGACAGGACGCGGCGCGGCGGGGGGTGCAGGGCAATTTCGCGGCCCGCCGATGCGCCTGCGATTTCTTGGGGCCTTGGGACCGGCCGTCAGGCGCTAGCGGCGACAAGAGAATGTGTTACGGGCTTTCGCGGGGCGCCCGAGGATTTCCTCTGGCCGCGGGGGCGCCGCCGCAATCCCACGCAGCTTGCGCCCCGGATCGCCGTGAGTTTCTGGCCAAGCCGCGCTGGCGCATTCTACGAGCGCGGCCTGCTAAGAAACTGCTCGGGCCAGGGCCCCCCGGGTTTCTCCCTGCGACGCCGTCGGTCAAGAAACCCAAGCCCTGGGCAAGAAATTCTGCGGGTTTTCAGGGCTCGGTTTCTCGCGAGGGTTTCTTGTGGCCGCGCCCCTACTGTACTCCAAGATCAATGGCTTCCTTGACCGTCTTCGAAGGAACAGACTGACCTACCAGACACTCTAACTCCTCGGTTAAACTCCGGGGTGCGCACATCAGACAAACCTTGTCAGAAACAACCAACCTCTGTTCGCGGATCCCCATGGACGAGAGCAGGCAACACCTGACGAAACCATGGGCCACGAATGAGGCGTGACCTTCGCACCTCGCAACAGCTCCATCTTTCAATTACCAGATGTTGGTCCCCGGATTGGGACACATGGCGTGGGCCTTCTGAAGCGCAGGGAGCAAACGCATCTTAGTCGTA